AAAATGTGAAATGTTGCTAGCTTAGCAATAAAAATTGTCACCAAAGCCAATTTGGAACGTCTCTAAATTAAAATGTCAAATGCCGCTAACTTAGCAATAAAAGCTGTCACCAATGCCAATTTAGAGCATTCCGGGCTGTATCTCTAGTTCTAATGCTTGAGTTATCCTTACGATTCCATTCTCGACAGGCTCAGAATTAAAAGACCTCTGCACATTATATTACATCAACGGATACGAGAGCATTTAGAAGAATTTCTGCTTGTATCTCCAGCTATAATGTTTGAGTTATCCTTACAGCTTCGGTCGGCTCAGAATAAAAGATCTCAGTATATTATATGACATCAACAGCTACAAACACAATAAGTGGCCAAACATTCGAAATTAAATAAAATAAACGATTAATATATAAGGTATTTCTCTGGCCTTCCTAGCGTGCCTTCGTGGTGTAGTGGTTTTGCACGCTGCGCCGGTATTCCAGAGGTCCGTAGTTCGATTCCCGGCGAAGGCGATTGTTCATTTTTCTTCTTTCCTGCTCCCCCCCCGAAAAATAACACCTAATGTCTCTACAGTGGCGCCCGAACTAAAAGGATGGTGGATGATTATTCTTCCCATCCAGGATTTGGCGATTGGGTCTTCTAAAAAACCCAGTCGTTCTTCAAAAGGGGGAGTATATAAAGTATTTCTACCTCGTTCGTTCCTAGCGTGCCTTCGTGGTGTAGTGGTTCTGCACGCTGGCTTGGTACTCCAGAGGTCCATGGTTCGATTCCCGAAGAAGGCGATTGCTCATTTTTCATTTTGCCTGCTTCTAAAAAATACCTAATGTCTCTACAAACAAACATAAAGTCTTAATGCAAAGTATGCTAAATATAAATACGTATAAGTAAACAGAAAATACACAACATTACAAAAGTAGATAAAATCCAAGTTATAATATCATAGTAAACCAAGTTACATATTCTCAAAACTCTAAGTCATCATCTTTCTGCTGTTCTGATATCCACTACAAGTTCTCAAAATAACAGGGGCATGCCGTAAATCACAGATATGTTATAAAGTCATTTGAAGCAGAAGACAAGAAAGATGAGCAATGCCGTCCCTGGATTCGAACCCTGAACCTCTCGAATACGCGTCGATTATGCTTCCAAATACACCCGAAAGAATGGTGAAAAGGGAGAAAATACCTCATAATAAATAATTATTTGTCTTTCGTTAACTAGTACGAGTATAAAATACGGCAGCATTTAAATATTGCCTCCAAATTATTATGTCCATTTTGTTCCCATAAAATTAAGTTATTGATTGTTTAAAAATAATGTTGAGGTATGATATTGCAAATCATATTTCAAGAATAAAAATACTGCTTTGTTTTGGAAGATGAGTTGTAGTTTGGTGGGGCTTACGATAGATATTTCGGTACTTACGAAAAATCTAGTCGATCATAAAAGGTTAGCTAAAATCCTACAAACTTCACGACCACCAATCATTTAGGCGGCATAAAATTTGCGATTGTTCGCTAAATAGAAACAAATATGTCTTTTGTTTTATGAAGATGACGCCACATGAACTCAGCTATGTAAGAATCTAAGCTATATCCTGCTGTCCCACATTGTCTTTTATTTCATTATTTGGCCGAAACCCACAATCGCTGAATGCTTTATGTATGTATTCCGGTGTCTGGATCTACAAATTTATACCAGTAATTCACTTTGAAATGTTCTAAATTGCCAGTCACATTTATAAGTCTTCTGTGAGTAGAGTATATTGTAGAACCTTTGTTAATGTTAGCTTTTATCGCATGAATAAGCGATATTACCTTCCTACCTGAAACTTTTACCATAAAACACTCGTTCCTTATAAAAGCCTTCAAACGACCATTGATCGCAGGCTATTTTTCCTGCATGGTTTCTTTGTGTTGAGAAAAGACTCTCATCAATCTTGACAATGAGGTTGGTCCCTCCGATTTTTTCTTTGGCCTTGCTAAACGTCTGTGTATATAAACTTCCCTTAAAGAATTATTCCAACTGATAATAATCTTGCCTTTCAATTCTAATCTTCTTTCCTGCATTCTATACTAAATAATGCATTAAGACAGCTGTAAATGAATCTTAATGCAGTCACAAATGAAGTAGTTCAACCACCAAACAACGTTTCTTTCCGAATGGACATTCGTTTCTGACAACTTTTAATATTATAACACTATTGAACTTGTGTTTGTAAAAAAACTCAATATGTGACTACTAAAGCATTTCTTGAATGACGGTAAGATTCTATACCTTTGCAAAGATTCTATTGTGTCCTGTTCCGTAGTTAGTAAATCTCAAATTTTAAACATTTTTTACATGGCAGAGCTATAACGTGATTTAAAATAGCAACAGCTTTGCTGCAAAACCTAGAAGCTCTTATTAAGAATCACATAGAATCACGTGTGGCACGTTTATTGGATAAAACTGAATCGCATTTATCATTGGCTATAACTCGCCTCTTGGCACCATTGCTTTCCTTTGGCAAAAATGGTTGACTGAATATCAATAAATTGCACTCTCATACATTGTGAATATAATTCAAAATAAATAACATAAATAATAAATAAATCGTCACTCTTCTGACGTTAAAAACGTCTTTAGTGAAGTATTTTAAAGGTTTGGGGACCGTAAGAGTTTAAACTTTTCAGGCAGGATCATAAATGTACAGTTTCTTAATTGAGCGTATAGTATTGCGAGGCCCCAACTTGTCAGCAATCGTAGTAGTGACTGTTATGAACTGTAAATTACACAAACTCGTAAGAAGGGTTTAAATCCCTTTTTATTCCACTTTAGAAATAACAGCTGCGTTCACTTAACGCTCACAAACTACGCCGACCCGGCGGTTTAACAAAACAGAAATGTGTGAAACTAAAATAAATGACAGGATGAATAAATAACGAGATCACTACCTACGAGGCTCTTAAATAGTAACTAACTTAACCGCGTTCTAAGATACAGCTGAGATTCAGCAAGCTTACTGATTAAGCAGTTGAAGATTCAACGAACTGCCGAAATAGGCACACAGGCCAAAACGCGCGGTTCTTAAATTTCTACCTAGCAACCTTCACGCTCGCGATTCAAGAAGCACACATACAAACTCGTTTCCCTTCTATTTCAACTCAACTTACTTCTGCTAAAATTTGAATAGACTGCGCGTTCTACTACAATTTACATACTCTGGCAGTGGCAATTCTAGGGAAAAGTAAAGGCTTGACAGGAAAGATAGCTTAAACTTAAAATAAATGTTAGTTAAAATAAATATAAACCCTACAAGCGAATTAAAAAAGCAAACGCCTTTCTTTATAATTGAAATCTTTGTTTCATTTTTAACAGTCTGCCTAACTGCTTCAGTTTACAATACATAGATATCAAGTCATTTAATTTGCATCATATACGGTTGATAATTTTTATGAGCATTTGTACCTTGGTCCAATTAGCAAAAGATGTTTCTAACATCATATTATAATACAAATATTTTGAGCTTTTTTGCCTCTTTTTTTTAAAATATACATATATAATGAAAACGACATTGCAATATTGATGGCATATAATGTAGCGCTTCGGTTATGAACTTGCATATTACAAATAGGCATGACACAGATTTGCATCAAAATGCGTTTCATTAGATATACAGAAGAAAATTATAGATATGGCACAGATTAAATCCCCTTCGACTCATTGTAATAAACCAATCATGCATTTTAATACAACAAGCTGGTAATATGATGTTTTAGAAATATTAATGAAGTATCGAAATGTAGATTGTAGATCCATAATGAAATGCAAGAATTTTGATTCCGGAGAATGCTGAAATGTTGATCCAAAATGAATAGGAAACTGACAACCGAGGTAAATTAAATATTCTTCTTTATTTTAATAAAAAATATTGCGGCCACAAATAACTTGGCACACCTCTTGTCTCATTTTCAAAGTACTTTCATTTCATTCAAAGTATTTTCTCCCTCCTTTCTGCATGCTTTGGTGGTGTAATGGTTAGCACACTAGACGCGTATTTGAGAGGTCCAGGTTCGAGAGGAAGGTCATTGCTCATGTTTCATGTTTTCTGAATTCAAATATGCGCTAATGAGTCTACAGTACTAAGGTGACTGCCCAGTGTTTTATTTATGAATATGTACTTGCATGTGCCTGTGTATGTGTATGTATAGTAAAACATATATCAGTATTTTGGCCTCTACTTATTCTGAAAAATTTCAAGTGCTTTTCTCATAAAAAAAAAAAAGATAGGATAACTAAAAAAAATTATCGCTAAACTTTAATTATACTATATAAAACTTGGGAAAAACATTCAGCATCAGCTTTTACCAATTACAATATTGCTGCAAATGTTCGTACAAATTACATATCAGAAATGTTACAAATTAAATGGATTTCATTTGTATCAGTTAGACACATTATTAAAAGGCGAAATAAAAATTTTAATTACTAAGAAATGTTTTAAGGCTTCTTAATCGCTCAGAGTGTTAAGCAATAAATAATTAATAATATTTGAAAGATAAATATAAATTCTTAAGTCACATCAAATGATAACAATCTGAAATTTAATTAAATGAAAGGACGGTGTAAAATAAAATCTTATAATTTTTACGGTAGCAATACTGATAAGGCGAGTATGTGGTAAGTGCTTGGCAACATAACATAAAAATAAAACAGTATTTGGAGGAATCGAAGGGTTATGAACATAAAATTCCGCATAGAAGGACAGCTTTCTAATTCGTTACACACGATAGCGTCTACCAGACCCTGATGGCTCAAATTTCATACTGGACCTATATTAGAGCAAAAGAAATCAAGTTACAAAATGAAGGGTGTAATTCATTGCATTTGGAGTAACTTTACATTTTCAAGGCCAAACACCAAATGCTTGGAGGTTTAAGCATGTTTGACACACTAAAATAGCAAAACAAAAGAACCTTGGTTCTCCTATAGATTAGTAAAAGAAAACATTTATGCACTTACTCATTGATCTGTGGCAACACCTCTTGGAGTACATTGTATGTCTGGAAAGGCAGCCAACATACTGCAAACAGTGCAACTACAATGGCCAGCATTTTAATAACCTGAAAGAAAATATAAAGGATTTCTTTTACTTTCAAATTAAAGCGCCTTAACAGCAATCTTATAAACATTATACATTAAAAGATTGCTATAACATATGAACTGCTTGAAGTTGCAGTAGTTTATAACTTAAAGCAATTAGGTAAGAAATATCAGTTCTATCGCTAATATATATACAGTGTCTCAGAATTAAAGCCGGACTTAAATTGCGCATAATTTTTTTCCCGTTTGCCTGACAGTGCTAAACGATATATATATAGCGTTCAGAGGATATAAGCTTCTAAATATACATATATATAATATCGTCATCGTTTAGAAGGTCGTCCTAAGATTTCAGATTTCAGTAAATTTGCTTTTTTCAATTTTTGTTTCCAATCGGTTTCAAGTGTTCAGCTGATAAAGCTCAGATTTGATTTTATTATTTAAAGAAACTTTGTGAAAAAGTGTTTTTTTTTTTTTTTTGTCATTAAACGATCAGTTAGCATAATCGGGAACCACTCAATTTTTTAGTGTTGTTTAAATGGCAGTTTGGTTTAAAGTCTATTTGTTTTACTCTTTATATTTATTTGCTTTTGAATTTCGGATCTGCATATAATGCTTTTAGACCAATTTGATTTTTTTTAAGTTTTGTTTTATTCGTTTTACCAAGTGTTTCGAAGGCGTGTAAACAAAATATGTGTAAATCTCTGATAAATCAGACTGGATCGCAGTTAAAGTAATAAACAGAGGAGCGTTCTTCCACACAACATTTATTTACGAACACCAAAGACGAACTGATACATATACATAATTGACATCACAGTTTCTTTTTACAAACAAACACTACCGCCATCTATTGGCGATGTATGGATACACAATCCTAAACTTAACAGCGTGTAGGGAAAATGCTGGTACATTTGAGATTCGAATTTTCGGTGCTATATGAATTTTAGTGCTTTAAATGAAAATGTAATGGATTATTTTTTCGGTTTTTGATCACAAATGAACCAGGAGAACAAAACACGCTTTCGAAACATATTAATCGACTTTTATGAAGCTTTAATTCATTTCCCCCGATGAGTTCTGAATTGGAGTTTCACTAAAAGGAGATTAATTTTTATTTTTATATTTTTATTATTTTGTATTTTTTCCCCTTTTGCATTTTCATTTCCATTTTTAGAGTTTGTACTGTTATGAATTCTTACTTTAATTTTGTTACGTGTGTATATGGTGTTAAACCCTTTAAACACGATTGCTAATATTAATATTGTTGAGAAATAACCTTGCTTTCACTCCAGTTTACTTTTAACGTTAGAATCTTTAAGTCTATTTTACTTCAATCCTGCAGCTATAGCGCAAGACTGGTATGAAATTTTGCTTTTAATCTTACCCTCTTATTATGTTTCCTTTTGTATTTATATATATATATATATATATGGAAATAAAGGTAATTATAGAAATATATATAAGCGGCTAAAGTGTGTGTCGCCGATAGTTTATTGTTGCCATTCGGAAAAATGAGCGCCGAAATTAACGTTTCCGCAGTTTTTAATTAATATCTCAACCGATTAAAGTCGTACGAAGATGAGAACGGTATTGATGGAGTCCGAGAATTTTTTGGAATCCGAAGACACACGTCTCGAATTTCAACTCGGCGCCGTTCCGTAGATTTTCGAGAAAAAAGAATTTGGCACGTAGCCAAATCCCTCTAATAGGGAAAACCCAAGAAAGAAAGTGAAAAATGTAAGGAAAACGTAAGGGAAAATTAGTTTTTAATTAATATCTCGGCTAATTAAAGTCCCACGAAGATGCAAATGGTCAAATTGGCGTGCCACAGACCTGCGGAATCCAACGGTGTGCTTCGCTAAGCCCGGGAGCCAGCCGTTTCAGAGGAGATAATGCTACTTCACCCCATATATATATGCAGCTTAAATGTCTGTTTGTCGCCGATAGTTTATTGGTTGCTTGCGTAACTGTACTAGCCAATGTGTTGAATGCCGTTTCAATTGAGACGTAGACAATTTCCTGTAAAACTTGCCTTTGCTATGACCATCAATAAGTCTCAGACCCAACAGCTTAAGCGTGTTGGCATTTTTTTACCTGAGCCTGCATTTCGACACGATCAACTTTATGGTGCATGTTCAAGAGTTCGTGAAAGAACTGACATAAAATTTAAAATAATGGATGGTCCTCTGCAAGGCGAGCTTAAAAATGATGGAAACATCTACACAAGAAAATGTTGTGTACAATGAGATCTTTGACATGTGAATTAATTTTTCATTATTTAAATCACCTTTATTTATTGAGCTTAAGAAATGTACCGCCAGTGGTTTCCATCATTGCAATCTACTTTAAGCAATTAAGCAAGTAGAAGGGGAAAACCTCGTGGGCCAGTAAGCAAAGGGGCGTCCTCGCCACCTGCCCTGGGTAATTTAGTTTTAATTAGCAGACACCTTTGCACAAATTATTTTAATTAAAATTTATAATATCTGGAACAGCGGTCATTTCGTATGACCATAGTTCAATCCTGGTTTATAAAATTAGTATTTTCTACTAAACGAATATTTCCTTTTTTTTTTTTTTTTTTTTTTTTAATAAACAAAAATCAAGTTAGAAAGAACATTTTTAACAAACATATTGTACTTTTTAATAAATAGGCAGAAATTAAATAATATTTCCCGTCCTTTCGATATCAGTTGAAAGGGAAATCATTCAAGACTTCATTTTTTGTATCCCTGCTTTGTTTTCCTACTAAGCAGAGATTACTTTTCTCCGTTTCCCAGCATCGAAACAATCGTGTATGTCTTGATTTTCGATACAGCAAAAAATAGTGGAATACAGAAAAGGGGATTCATCTGAGCAACTAATTCCCGCGATTGTTCCAGCTGATAGCTTGGGTATTGGCAGCTCTAAAGCCAAGATACTAAAGGATACCTATTTCTAGAGATAGCTGATAACGATAACGTTGGGTCATTTGCTTGGGAGAATTTTCTGGCCGAAGAATACTTAATGGCGCTTTATTTCGAATAAACACCTGGACGCATTTTCTCGAAATAAATGGAGAAATTTAACTGGTTTGGTTTGGTTTATTGAGATTACGGCAAAGCACACTAGGGCTACTTGCCTAAAAGGAGGAATGCCTTCGGGGAGAACGTTCTAAGAGAAACTGGTTCGTATACACGTTACACATGGAGAAAACCACGAAAACGCCCATGCAGCCAGCCCGCTCGCGGGATTGACTTGTTACTGCTTTGAAGGTAGTTTCAATATGCCACTTTCCCAAAATGACTTGTCCCAAGTGGCAAAAAAGTGAGATTGCTAGTTTTCACAAGCCTCTCTTGAAGCTAATTTCACACCATTAAAAGTATTTGTAATAGATTAAAACAGATGATAATCGCTTGGTGCCAGATCCGTACTCTAAGGTGGATGCATAAGAACAACCCAACCAAACTCTCTGAGCTTCTGGTGCGTCATCATTGATGTGTGAGGCCTGGAGTTATTCTGGTGGAACAGGACGCCTCTCCTGTTGGCCGATTTTGGCCTCTTTTGATACTGGCTACTTTCAATTTGTCCAGTTGCTGGCAGCAGAAGTTCGAATTGAGTGTTTGGTCATTTAGGAGCAGCACATAGTAAATGATTCCCTTCCAAACCCACCGAACACACATTAAGGCTTTCTGGACAGTCAATCTTTGTTTGCCCCTCATTTGAGCTGCTTAATCGGCCTTCGACCATGAATGTTGTCACTTGACATTTTCGTATGTGACCCATTTTTCTTCGGCAGTCACCAACCTCTTCAGAAATGGCTCGATTTCGTTCCGTCCGTTTGGCCAAGAATTCTCAGATTACTCAAACATCAATCTTCCTTTTGAACCCAGCTTTACACAAATGATTTAAAACTGTTTTGTGGTCGATCTTTCGTTCCTGGGCGACGCTACGGCAGCTCTCAAGCCGGTCTAATTCAAACATTTCCAAGGTTTCATCGACATTTTCGACCATAGGCCTTGCAATGCGTGGTGCATTTTTCAAATCAAATTTACCGAAATGGAATCGACGAAACCAAAATTGCACTTGATTGGTTCTTAAAGTATGGGAACCATAAACACTATTTACAATTTCAGCCGACTGACTTGAGTTTCAGCTTTATCGAAGTAAAATTGTGTGGGATGGCATCGTTCATTATAATCGGATGACGCGACAAGCTGTGAGAATAAATCTTTTACTTTTCTGATGAGAGAAGTCAGACGATTCCGCCATTAAGACGATGATGCGACTGAAAGATGTTTACATGTAAAAGACGGTCGATTCTCTTCATCTGTAAATATCATCTACGTAAGTTCATCCTTCTACACATGTAATCATTTTGTAGTTTGTAGTAACTATTCATATTTCCATTAAATATTCTAGTTATTTGTAAATTGGACTAGTTTATTAGCCCCTAGACAGCCACAAAAGAAGTAAGTTTACAGACATCATATGCCTAGACAGTAAGTACCGATTCTACAATTGTTAAACATACCGAATTTTTTTCTTTGTTCATCTCCATCTTTAACGCTCTAACTCACAACTAAATCTATCAATCACAACATTTGCAAACTCTTCTTGTTTTTACTTGTGCTAGAAATTTCCATCTTCGAGTATAAATTCTATCTAATAAGATAAATGCTAAACAAAATATAGAAACCAATTAGTATTATTTCCCCCCCCACATTAATGAAAGTTACAAAACGCTTATCAAAACGAGCTTGGACTTAAGGTTGGCAATTGAAGAAAGAAAGAGATTTACTGGGTGCATCGAAGTCTCTCTTCCAAATCCCACCCTAGCTTTTGCATTTTGGTGAGGCTGATAGAAAAAAACGAAGTATTAGAAAATAATTAAATTAATAACGTGCCGATTTAAAATAAGACTTACGGACTTTCTAAAGCAAACTGGGTTCCAAGTTACGTCACACATTAGAGAAACCGCGAATTCCATATACCCAGCCCGTTCGCCAGAATTTCAAATTTGAGTCGGACTGCTGTTGTG